CCACTCGTTTGCCTACCTTCTCCCGCAGCATGGCCTGGCAGGGCGCTAGGGGGGATAGAATTAGAAAGTCTGGGGGATTCGGTTTAGGGTTTAGGGTAGGTATGTAAGGCTTAGAATATCGAGCGTAGGATACAGGTGTAAGGTCGACACTCTTAAACAGGGGGTTAAGGGCGGTCACCTAGTATCTACCTCGACCCCAAAGGCACCGAGCAGGACATCCTGCGCGGCCGAAGTTGAGCTACAGAGCAGTTGAAGCTAGACTGAATCTAGACGCCCCCAAAAAATTGTAATTTTGGCTGTTTCTTGAGGGTACCCCTAAGGAACCCGTTGTCAAGCAACAGCGAGCTGTCAAGGCGATGTAGTGCATCAAGTAGGTGAGGTTGCTGTGTGGCTGCTCTTGGAGTGTCTACTCTTTGCAACATGAAGCATGTATAGCGGATCCATCTCTAATCCAGAATTGTCACAGGTGTTCGACCACATGGAACATGTTTTTCCTTGTTTGAGCTCGAACTATGCTGCTCATCGCCCCATACGCTAAAACACCCTGAGAGCGTATAGGCCCTAAACACTGAGACGGACAGATTGCACTCCTGACAATGGACTACAAATGTCGCATCCATCATGCAAAGCCCGCATTCAAGCCACGGAAGCAATGATTGTGCCCTTGGCAGTTCCAACTCATAACGGCGAGCTGGTCAGCGGCGAGCGCAGCGGCTGTTGTGCCGTCAGCGCTGCTACCTGGCCCTGTATTGGGTTCTGGACACTCAGCAGTCAAATGGGGGTTTCCGAAAATAGGGACCCTAACATAGTACCCTAATTAAATAGTTAGTAGGATCCGTATTATAAGGACCCCAAAATAAGGTATCCCCAATTTCCGGAAACCTCCAAATCGCGGAGCCATTGGCATTGCCAGTGAGGTCGATCGTGCTGGACTCTTCGTGCCGTGCCCAACGGGTCTGGACAGTGTGAACCCCTGAACCGTGCGAGGAGTGAAGTTTAGGGTTTAGGGGTTTAGGGCTTTAGGGGTTTTCCGGCTTTACGTAAGCTTTACGGGTTTAGGGGTTCAGGATTTTAGGGTTTTAGGGCTTCAGGGGTTTAGGCTTTAAGGGTTTATGGGTTTTAGTTTAGGGTAGCGAGCCTTGTGCAGCATGAACCGCTGGTCCTTCGGCTCGCTGCCAGAGGCTTTGCAAGTTTCAGGTTTGGGCCAGGGGTAATATGCCCTTGATAATAAGAATAGGGCTCCTTTAAAGGATTCTTTCTATAAGGGGTCTATAAGGGATCTAAAGTAGGGTTCTATATTAGCGGCCTTAAGAATTAGAATACGGTTTCGGGGCATACAGTATTATACTATAACCTATTTTGAAGAACCCCACAATAGTATTGGTACATGTTTATGCCCTGAATTAAAAGAAGTATCGTCTACGGTTTAGGAGGTGTCCATAGATGTCAGGAGCCAGAGCTGTAAGCTGTGGGACTGTTCCGAAGACCCTCAACCGATGACCTCCCTAGGTCCCTCAACCCGTGAAGCCCTAAAACCCCTATTGTAGCAACATACGGCACGATCCCATTAGTCCCGAAGCACTAAACCCTAGACACCAAAACTTCTAGAATTCAATGTTTGGGCAAATTCAGGCTGTTAACGGAATCCCTAAACCTCCAAATTCGCAGAATTGTCGAGTTAAAGCCCAAGCCCTAATTAAAGTAAACCCTACTTAACCCAGACCCCGAACCCCTGAAGCCCTAAGCCCCAAAGCCGAAACCCTAAACCCAGAACCCTCGACCTAAACTCTACACCCCTGAACACTAACTCGAAGGATCAAAAATCCGAAAAGCCTACGTGAAGCCTCAAACACTTGAGCCGTTAGAGCCTTATGGGTAAGAACTGTCGGGTTCCCTTGTCAAGTCCTCCGAGAGCACTGCAGTGAAGCGCTCGAGGAAGACCTTAGAAATGGCTTGAAAATTCGAAGCCCAAACCCTCGCCCTGGGTTGAAACTACCAAAACCCGCAACTGTACAGCTCAGCGTCGCGCAGGCATTTTGGCTTGATCCTGCGTGTGTGGTTTTAGGAGTTTAGCCTGCCGGTTGCAGGGCATGGTCTGCAAGCTGCGGTGAGCTGTTCGCTACGAAAGTGATCTGTGTGTATATATATATATACAGAATTATACATACATAGATGCTAGCATTTATAAACTAACATCTTGTACATGTAGACACACAGCCATGCATGTGTATGTCTATACGCACATGCACACGGACGGGTATGGACGGGTATGTGAATCTGTACATATCTATACAGACAGAGGGCGCGAGAGAGAGAGAGAGAGAGAGAGAGAGGGAGAGGGGGAGAGACAAAGAGAGGAAGAGATACCGACCATCCCAAGTCTGTACTCGAAGTACATAATATTTCTGCAACAGGAGTCGGGGGTGGGCCCCACGAAGCCTTCCAGCTTCTCGTTATGGTGGGAACGGCTTCAGCACCCACCGATGCCCCGGCCCCAGAGTGTGTAGTTTGGAGTCGTGCAACACATAATGTAGGGGCCTGAAAAAATTTAGGGTTTCGGGGCCCGTTATACTCAAATTACAATAAGGAACCCCCAAAATAGTATTGGTAATTATTCAGGTCCCTTCTGTCAAGCCCAAGACTTCAGCTGACACTCGGGCCTAGAGTGCATCGTCGCACTCGTCCGAAGGCAGGTAGCCCTCATCAGCCTCTATCAGCTCGCCGTAGTTTTCTCCATGTCTTCTCCGCTCTTTTGGGTGAGGTCCTGAAGTGGCTCGTTGAGCTGAGACTCAAAGGGCTAGCACATGGACCAATATCCTTTGGCTCGCTTCTTCGGCGGAAATCTCGGGAGGCTGCCGGCTGGACACTCCATCCAGTCCTTGCCGTCCGGGCCAACCACATCGGGAAGAGCTCGTGAGCCGATGCTATTGCGGCCCACCCGGTTTTGGGTTTGAGGGTTTTGGGTTTACCAGGGCGAACTTGGCTACCATCGTGACAGCACGGCTCTACAACTCTTCCTGCATGACAGAGTTTGGGGTTTTGGGTTCAGTCTTGAGGGTTTAGAGGTTCAGTGGCGTGACGATCGGGGGGACAGAACTACGACTTCTGTGAGCGCCACATGCACCACACAGCCCTTCCGAAGCTAAATCCCTTTAAAAGCTATGCCTATTGCCGATCCCAGCATGGAGGTCGGGGGACGTAGCAACAGTATCCCCTGATCGCCCCTAGAAAACCATGCCAACTTGGCCCAAAACCCGAGTCTTCGCCCCCTATTGCCGACAAGCTCAGACTAACGAAGGCAAGCCACAGAACAGAAGGAGACACAGTGAGATTGCGTTCTTTGGGCTACAATGCATTGGCACAAGCCCTTAGTTCCATAGCTCCCTCGAACACATTGCTTGCCACTGCGCCCGGCTTGCAATATGGCTGTATTTCCCACGTACACTACACTCAGAGAAGAAAGGCGAGAGAAGCCAAGGCTGTGAAACACACCGCCCTAAGAAAACTGAATCCTGAGCCCTAAACCCTGAACCCGAAACCCTAAATCTGACAGTCCGCATGACCGATTGCATAAATCCTAAACCCTGAACCCTTAAGCCCTAAAGCTTCAGCCCTTAGCCCTATCTCAACCCCCCAGCCACTGCGTCCTGCTTTCCAGTGGAGCATTGCTCAACCAGGCTCCAAGCCTGGACCAACAGGGTTACTATAAGAGAAATTAGGATAATTTTCCTGTAAGGGGTTCATAATCGGGTCCTATAATTATAAGGGGTTACTACCAGTGTAAGAGGAATTAGGATAGTTTTCCTGTAAGGGGTTCATAAACGGGTCCTATAAGAGGAATTAGGGTTACTACAAGGGGTTTTAGGGGGGTTTAGTGTAGGGGCCTTAGTCATTCGAATAGGGTTTTGGGGCCCATTATACTCTCATTGTAATAAGGAACCCCCAAAATAGTATTGGTAACTATTTCGGTCCCTACAGCAATCCCCAAAGACTTCAATCTTGAATCCTGAACCCCAAACCCTACATCTTGAACCCTAAATCCTAAACCCTGAACCCTAAAGCCCTAACTGAACCTCGAGCTAAACAAAACTTGCTTCGCCACACACTCTCTCCTTTTTCTGGCGCAGGGGCGCGCGGGCTGTGCGCAGTCTGCTCTTTGGATGAAGCGAACCTGGGTTCTCCACCCTCTTTTGCCAACGAGCCCTTATGAGTTTGAGGTCGTCAGGGTTTGGGGCTTCCGGTTTGAGATAAGAAGGCTTAGTGAGTTTGAAGGTCTTGGCCCGGGAGCCGGTATATGAATTCGGTGGACGGTCGGGAATTTACTATAAGTGCCATAATTATACTACGGAACCCCCAAAATAGTATAAGTAATCATTGAAGCCCCTATATTACCCAAGATGGCACCTGCGGAAGGGATCCCATGTCGGCAGTTTCACGCTGTCTCACGAGGCTTTTGCGAAGCGGTGAGAGCGCGGGAGGCTCCAATGAATTCCTCAACGCGAGCTCTCACGGCGTGGCATGCCAGTAGTTCAGCTGGGTGTAGAAAACATGAATACTTGAAGAAGATTAACTTAGTAGGCTATGCTATAATTAGTGTATGTATAATCTAATCGGGAACCCTCAAGAATGTATTAGATTAATGGATCAGTTTCCTGCGGCATCAGGCTTCTCTGCACAGGGTTGTAGAAGGATCTGACCAGAGCTGCGATTCCGCCAGGAGCTAGATACAGCTAGTGGACGGCCCTGATCAGCACGGAGATTTAGGTGAATAAGAGATTGTCATCCAAGAGCCAGCAAAGTCCGCTCCTAGTTCGCAGAAGCTCCATGCTGATAGCTTGAATCGGAATGTATGTTGAACTGGACTGGCCATGCGGGAAAATCTGCTTCCGACAGGAGCCACATCTGTACAACTTGGCTCAAGGAAAGCAACAAGCGATGCTTCTGGATCTGAAGCGAGGGCGAAGATCAGGCACTCATGAAAACTACATTACACACAAAACTCAAAGTACCGGCTTGGCCATGTAGAGGTTGACGGCGCCATAAGCAAAACCTTTGACATCGCTCTGGGGGCTTCTGACCCGAGGCCTCGATCAGGCTTAAGGGATGTTCGCTAGGCCTTGATGGTGAAGGTTGCTGTTCTGGGAGATGAAGAGTGGAGTGAATGAGTGCACTTTTCGCTCTGGAACAGCTGCAACATCTCTGCAGCATATTTCTGCAAGGCCCCTCGGAATAGAGCCATACAAAAACAAGCAAATTTCTCGCATAAGCCAGAAGTGTATGTATGGTAGCATGACAGGGTTGACGGCCGCAGCAGCAGCAGAAGCAGCAGCAGCAGCAAGAAAGCAAGAGGAAAAGGAAATCAAAACAGGACGAAGCGCGGTAGCACCATACAAACTAGTAACTAGATAGTATTATGTTTTTGCCCGACAACTTCTATCGTAAGACGAACCCGTAGGTACATAAACCACATGCTCTTCCAAATACTTGGTAACCCATACTGCCACTATCCTAAACCGAAGTGCCTAGTCATTGATCCTTGGGTCATTGATTAGTGGGTCCTTTGGACACTTCTAAACTCTCTTATACCGGCTTCAATGAATAGAACCCCCATATACCGGACCCCTTATATAAACTTGCTGGGCCCTTTAGACCCTTGAGTCGTCAAATCCAAGGAGCTGGTTAGTAGGGAATGGAAGAATGGTGATAATGGTAATTATTATTGTACCCCATTCCTCCATTCCCTACTAACCAACGGTAAGAAATCCAAGGAGCTGGTGATGGTCTCCACGGGAAGGCCAGCTCGGCCCAGCTCTGCTGCGAAGTCCATGGGCTTCCTCGGGCGGGGTTCTTAAAACTGTTGGTTGCCGGTAGCTCTTTACAGGGTCTTGGGTTTTTGTGAAGGTTGAAAGAGTGTTTATAGGGGCTTAGTTGTTTTCAAGGATGTTTATAGAGCCTTGGGATCTCAAGGGGAGTTTATGGGGCCTTAGGGTCCTTTGTAAGGTCTTACGGTTTTAATCTGCTTTTATCGAGGGTTCTCAAAGTTAGGGCCCAGGGAGTCTAGGGCTAGCGGACTTAATACAAACTCTCCAAGCCTTGACAGGAAAACCTGAAGTACTGACCGCGGACTCGAAATAGGCAAGCACACACTAACAAGGGCATGTCCTCATAGTTACCTAAAACACAGTAGGTTACTAACCATGTTTTTATGTACCCCAGCAACCTACTATTCATGCAACTGGAGCCCTACGGTAAGCCATGGACATGTGGTGCTCTTGCCGACCAGAAGCGGGAATCGCAGAATGGACCGCTCGAGGTAGTCCTTGGCTCTTGTGTTCTTTGGCCCAATCCAAAATCAGGTTTTCCACGAAAGCTATATTGTATTCACGCCACAACATCTGCAAAGGTTGCCTTGCTGTGTGGATGTAATTACACATATCAACATATATGCGCGTGCACATGAATATATGTAAATGCATATGTATAAGTATATGTATATGTGTATATGTGTATACATATACGTATAGCCATAGGCATATATATGCATGGATATATGTATGCAGCATGTACTTGGATTATATGTGCGTGCACTACACTCTACAAAATCGACGTTCAAGATAAACATGCGAAGAATGCGATCTCTAAGCAGCTCGAATACACAACTAAACCAGGCCGAAACCATACACACCAAACCCTAAATCCTAAACCCGGAACTCTAAGTGCTAAGCCCTGAAGTCCACTCAAAGAGTCATACTCGTCGCCACCAGAGCCCATTGTCGCCACCCAGCCGATCAGAGGCACCTCACTGGGCTAAACTTTACAAAGGCTTGTTTTGTAGGGTGTGGATGAGGGCTACTACAAGGGTTTCTTTTCGTGTGTATGCTTCCGGCACTGTAGATTCTGGATTGGGTTCTGAACCGAGTGCTTCGAATCTGTGAAACGTCTCGGACAACAGATTTCGGATTCAGGGCTTGAGGTGCTGAGTCGCATGCAGGGATCGGGATTGTGCGGGTTCAGGCTTGAAGGCTATGGTTCGGGACCAGCGGTTGTGTGATGTGTCTGGTTTTACGAAGGGTGGCAACTTAAGCTGTGTCCAAGCCTTAGCCCTGTGTTATCATCAGACACCCCGAAGACCCTAAAACCCCACAGAACCTTTCAAAGAACCCTCAAAAGAAGCCTAGTCCATCTGTGGAAGGCCCCTAAAGATCACTTATGAAACCCTTAGAAACCCTACGCACCCCCATAAGCGCCATAAGCCTCAAAAAAGCAGAAGCCTCTCTCAAACCGCAGTCGAAGGCACGACGTGCGTGATGAATCCCCTGGCCACCTCCCAAGAGCTTTAAAAGGTGCTTAATTGAGGGTAGGGTGAGTGCCTGGGGTTAGGGGGCCTTAGATCAGGGCTTCAGGGAATTCTTGCGTTTTCGGATCTCAGTACATGCTCTCCCTATGTAGTCTCTTACTGCGGGTGGTGGCGGTTACGAATACCTTTTGCTAACTTGCGGTCAGCTTAAGGGATGCGCGCAGGATTGGAGGACTAGTAGAACAGCACGTGACTAACCCCACAGCTCAACATGCAAACAGTCTGTACATATACATATATATATATACATATATACATATATATATATATATATATATAATACATATGGAGAGAGAGAGAGAGAGAGAGAGAGAGAGAGAGAGAGAGAGAGAGAGAGAGAGAGAGAGAGAGAGAGAGAGAGAGAGAGAGAGGGACAGAGAGGGGGTTCAGGCCCCAGATGTACCCACGTACCCTCATTTTGTATTGACTTGACAATCTGAAAGCCTCAAGCCGTTGAGTTATAACTGGAATACCAGATGTTCCGCTTAATCCACAGGCCCTCGGCCCATACCAGGGCCTCAGGCTTTGAGTGCCCCATGCAGCAACTAAAAACCTAAATCCCAAACTCCGCAAGACCCTGACCTACCTTAACCCAAAATAACTACCTGTTTAAGGAGTTATAGAAGGAAACCATAGTAAGGAACCCTACAAAGGTAGGTCTCTTAGGGCCCAGATAGTACTTAAACCTCACGCCCGGCCCACCTTGGACAAGAAGGTCTCTCCACTGGGCAGGGACAACTCGAGGATGCAAACCCTGCTGGAATCCTGCGCGGCAGGCAAACCTAAACCCTAAGCCCTTGAACCCTTCACTTCAACCCCAAAGCCTAAAGCCTGAAACCCTAAAACCCTAAACCCCTAAACCGTATCCCTTAAGCCCTAAACGACTAAAGCTTAGTGCAGAGGATTGCGGTGTGAGTATTTGAGTGAGCAAGCGAGTGCTTGTTAGCTTGCTCTTGCAAGCTGGCTCTCTGACTCATCCAAAAGACTTTCAAATCTCGTCGCGTTGACTCCATGGCTTCTTGTGAGGATTGTGGCTTCGGGCTGTAGGGCTGTGTCGGCTGGTGGCTCTGTAGGGATATACAGTATAAGTTTAGGGTTCAGGCTTTGGGGGTGAGGGCACAGGGCTCACAATTAAATCTTGAAGCTTCGGGTCTTGTTTGACCTGTGGCAACGAAAGGACGACCCAAGCAGGTAAGGATGACGAATGCAGTTGCTGGGATCGAGATTAAGGCTCCGAAGCAACAGGTTCGCATATCGCCCCCGGGCAAAAGCTCAAGGGAAAATCGACGGTTGAGGCATTGGGCTGCTGGGAGGAGGCTCATAATGTTTCAAAAAACCCAGCCGAATGTACCCAGCTTCATAATCAGTCTAATTGGAATTCGGGGCTTCAGGGGCTTAAAGGTTTAGGGTGGCGATCTTCAAACCCCAAGACCCTGAAAATGAAACTTCGACTCGCTCGCCAACTTGATGCTCGCACTTCTGGACCCAAAACCCTAAACCCGTAACTCCTAAACTCCTAAACCCCTAAACCCTACTTAGGAGGCTCGCAGCCGAGCCTTCTTGCGCATCACGCGGCGCATCTCGGCCAGCGCCTGCACCAAGGCTTTAGAAGGTCGGATTTAGGGGCTGATATGACTCTGAGGCTAAGGTCTTAGAGTTGAGAGTTCCGGATTAGTTAGGAACTTGGGGATTAGGCTGCGAGGCTTGGGGCTTGAGGTCTATCTCTCTCTGCCTGTCCTCCTAGATATCTGTCTGCCTGCCTATCTTTGCATTCATCTGCTTCTCCTTGCATGTACGAGCTTGCACGACAAAATACAAGCATGTGACGCTATACCAGCGTATACCAACCACTCTAATACAGGGGCCTTCCTACTTAGATTAGGGTTTTGGGGTTCGTTATACCGTCATGAAAATAGGGACCCTAAGAATGATATTCGCAATTCTTTGGGAGTTTCTGAACATAGGGGACCCCAATTTCGAAACTCCCATTTAGGCCCCTACATTAAAATGTCCTGTTCGTCCTCGGCAAAACTGCCCAGCTCGGCCTTCGAGCGGTCAGGCACGTTGCGGATGCCGAATGACATGCCTCACTAGGCAAAGTTCATGGCTTAGGGTTTAGGGCCGCTGAGGGTTAGGGTGCAGGCTTCCATCAAGAGGGTTGGTTTTAGTGTTTAGGGTTGGCAAGCTTAGAAAGGTTAGAGTTCAATCTCGGAGCGATTCGGTTCCGGACTAGATCTTGCGTCGATAAACGCGGTTGAAAGCATTTCTAAACCCTGACCTGTAGCTCATGTCTGCTATCGCATCCAGAACGCAGGCTGGTAGTTGGTAGCGTTAATCTCCCTGACGGTAGACTGCTTCTTCAACATACGCTCGCTTGCACAATCGTGGACGGTTCCACAATTGTCCTGCAAAAGTGTCTCATCTTACGGTGCTCACAACAATGGAAACTTCGGAACAGGACCGCAATGTTTAATGGCCTGTAACCTATAGATGGCCCAACACCAGGCTAGACACCATGCTCGGCGAACGAGCCCTTAAATCCTTGAACGTAAAGCTTCCTTTCAAGTAGGGGCCTAACTACAAGAAAGCGCTGGGAAGAATTGTGTATAATCTGTATAATATGTAAGTTTATAGGGACCACAAGGGCCAAGTAGTACTGCTTATTCTGAACCCTATAGTCAGTAGTGCAAGGAGACCTAAACGCAATCCGCCCACAACCCTGAACCGTAAACCATCAAATCCAAACTCAGAACAATCTACCCCCAAAAGCCGAACGCAGAGCAATGCATCCCCATGTTGCTCAGGTGCTGATCTTGTCGATCGATCCCGTCGCCGCCCCTGATCGCAAGATTCGGCAGGTGCTTCGCATTCAGGTTTGATGAAAGCTAAGCATGCTAGAGGACGGCATGCAACATGGTCGGCTGACTGCATATCGTCGACCCATTTGTACACTTCCGGTACAAGCGTGCTGTTTCTGGTCACGTTGTCAGCATGATCGTCATCAACATCATCATCCGTATCATCCGCAGAGACATCACCATCATCAGAATCATAATGACCGCCACCATGAACACCAAAAGCAGTATTGGAAGTCAACAATATCGACACCCTCACCATGACAATCAAATCACCACCACCTCCGCCGTTACCACCACCACACCATCAGCAGGGTCGTCGTCGCCATCATCATGGTGTGAAACGTCATATCTCGAGTCATCACTAACATCGCCAACATGAACATCCACATCACCACCACCAACAACAACAATGACACCAACACCAACACCAGGCAACCAACCAACCAACCAACCCACCGACGGACCGACCGACCCATCAACAACCAACCACAACCACAACCACAACCACAATCGTAACCACAGCCACAACCACAACCACAACCACGACGACGACGACAACGACAACGGCAACAACAAACACGCTTTTAATGATGACAACCACAAAGCAAACGATATCACCAATAGGACGAACCGATAGCATCACTGTTGCAGTCGCCGCTACTGCAGGCAGCACCCTGATCCTCCTCGTTGTCGTCCCTGTCACCGTCATCATGACCACATTCGACACCCTCACCTTTGAGACCCACTAGCATAACGCTGGTCCACATCGCTGTCATCAAACTCTACGCTATCGCCAACTTCGTAACTACCAGCGTCATCATCCTCACGCCATTCACGCGTATTGGCAATCGTAGGAAAAAGGGCAATTTCCCTTCATCACGGCTACGATGCTGCAGGTGCGGGACGCCGAGAATTCCTTCAAAAAGTCGCCATGCGATCATAATATCAACAGAAACATTTTTCAGAGTGGCGCAGCTGCTTGCGTTTAGCGCGATGCCACTTGAGAACACCAGGAGCGAACCGCTCCAAAGAGATGATCAAATCTGAGAACAAGGAGCAAACCGCTCGAAGCGGACTAAACAATATTGGAACCAGGAGCTGGCTGCCCGAAAGAGACCAGAGGCTTTGAGAACAAAGAGTCCGCTCGGTAGACCAGCGACAACAGCAACATTCGGTAGACCAGCGGCAACAGCAACGTTCGTGGCCGTGATCGGAGTGACAACGGCGCCGGGTGTAGTTGTGTAGTTGCGGTGTAGTTGCGGTACTGGAAGTGGAGCTGGTCGGCGACGGTATTCGTCAACCAGCGTCAACTATGCCTCGTGTCAGTAGACTCCACACAAAACGCACTGCCTGCGCTGGGGTCGGCAACGGTGCCCGCTGCGTCGATACCCTGCACACTGGTGAGGTCCTCTGTCAGGGCTTAGGTTTCTGCTTGGAGTTAGCTATTCTATTCTAATTGCGGATGTAGTATGTGCCCCAAGTCTTTCCTAGCGACGTGGGTCCGTCTGGGAGGAAGCTCGAAGCCCCAAGCTGCCAACCCAAGAACTACGCCCCATCTCAAAACCCGGCATGCTGTGAATCCTCAACTCAGGAATCCTGGCACCCCAATCTCGAAACTCAAAACTTGCTTAACGAAACCCTTGAGCAAAAAATCCTACAATCTGTCAATCCCAAGCCCCTGTAAACCCTGTCCTAGAATCCTAAACAGCAGATCATCCTTGAAAGCAGAACCGGAACCCATGAACATCAATCCAAATCCCCAAAATCAGATTTAGAATGCTCGACAATTCTCGGTGAGACCTTCATTTTAAGCCCTTGCTCCATCGCAATGCCCAGATCCCCAGCACTTTGAAACCCAAGCCAAAGCTCCAGCACAAAGCACGAGACTGATCTACGAACATGAGCAACCGTAAATCTCAAACCCCGCATGTGGGTTGTTTTATTTTTACAACCCTAACACGACGCAAAGATGCGATAAAACAACCTGAGCTCTCAAACCTATATAAACCCCACAACCCCCTGAACATCTCGAATTCCCAAACCCCACTGACGGGACTCCTAAACGTCCTATCAACAAACCCTTTATGCCCTAAACCCTGAACTTCTGAATCCTAATCCCTAAACCCTTTAGGCCCTGAGCCCTAAACTTCTAGATAATAACCCCCAAACCCTTTAAGCTCTACAGTTCGAAATCCTAAACCTTAAACCCATAACCACCCTAAACCCCTTAAGCCCAAAACTTCGACATCCTCAGCCCTGAACACCCCAAAATCCTCATTCCCAAACTCTTTCAGCCCTAAGCTTCGAAAGCCTAAACCCTAAACACCCCCAAATCCTAATCCCCGAACCCTTCAGGCCCTAAACTTCAGTCTCCCCAAACCCTAAACACCCTAAACCCTGTCAGCCCGAACCTTCGACACCCCAAAACACAAAACCTTAAACCCCAATGCCCTAAACTTAAAATTCTCCTCAACCCTAAACCATTTAAGCCCCAAACTTAAAAATATACTAAAAAAATTCTCCTCAACCCTAAACCCTTTAAGCCCCAAACTTAAAAATATACTAAAAAATTCTCCTCAACCCTAAACCATTTAAGCCCCAAACTTAAAAATATACTAAAAAAATTCTCCTCAACCCTAAACCCTTTAAGCCCCAAACTTAAAAATATACTAAAAAAATTCTCCTCAACCCTAAACCCTTTAAGCCCCAAACTTAAAAATATACTAAACAAATTCTCCTCAACCCTAAACCCTTTAAGCCCCAAACTTAAAAATATACTAAATGCCTGGCGGGGTTCCTGCGCGTCGCCTTTGACGAGGCGGACGACTTGGTCGAGGCCGCTGGACTCCACCTGAACAGAGTTCATGGCTTTAGGGATTTAGGCTTTAGGGTTTAGGAGGGTTTAGAGTAGGGGGGTTTTAGGATTTTAGGGACTTCAGGGTGTTAGCGATCAGGGTTTGTAATGTAGGGGCCTGAATAATCAGAATAAAGGACTCTATAAGGGGTCCATAAGGAATGTTATAGTAGGGTTCTATATTAGGGGCCTGAATAATTTGATAGGGTTTTGGGGCCCGATAGTATAGGTAATTATTAAGGCCCCTATGGTAGGGATTTAGGTTTTAGGGTCCAGGAGGGTTTAGAGTTTAGGGGGTTTTAAGGGACTTCAGGGTGTTAGGGTTCAGGGTTTGGGTTCTTAGGGCTTGACGGTTTAGGGGTGTGGGTTTAGGTTTTAGAAGGGTTTAGGGGGGGGGTCAGGGTTTAGGTCAACGTGTTGGGGTTTGAGGTTTTGGGTTTTGGGATGTTGGGTTTCTTAGAGAACAGAGTTCAGGGTTTGGGGCTTGAGGGCCCAATTCGGGACGGTCTGGAAGTATACGGATAGGATACTTACAGGAAAATGTTTGAGGAACTACAAGGAGACCAGAAACAACAAAAAACAATAATGACCACCACGTGGGTGCCGAGTTTCTCGCCGCTTGCTGCTGGTCAGTGGTCCGGGAAATCAGGTACCTGCCAGCTTGTCTGAACTCTTCCTCGCTGAGGTTCCTGAGGCAGGCCGGCATCTTGACGACACTTCCCGATCTGCCCATCGGTCGTCGCGACGATGCTTCGCGTCGGTTTTGGGAGGCCTGATTTTCCGGCAGTCGCTTGGGGTTTAGGTGTTAGGGCTTTGGGGCTGAAATTAGGGTTTGAGGGTTCCGGGTTTAGGGTTTGAGGGTTCCGGGTTTAGGGTTTGAGGGTTCCGGGTTTGGGGTTTTAGGGTTCGGGGTTTGGGGTTTTGGGGCTTTAGGGTTAGGTTTTGAGTGGTGGCTCGCATGTAAGGACATGGGACGAGGCGCCGTCGCCTTGGGGAGGGGAAGGGCTTTGGCGTGTAGGGAACCACTACCGACCGAGGATTTCTGGACGTGAGAGATCGGGCGCAGGGGGTTTACAGGGCTTTGCGGGCTTTGGGATTGTAGGTTAGGGCTGGGGTTCAGGGCTAGGGTTCGGGTTGAGGGTTTCGTTGCGGGGTAGGATTTAGGGTCAAGAGTTTATGGCGGAGGGTTAGGGCTCAAAGGGTTTAGGGCCTTGAGTTTAGGGTATAGGATACATAGGGCTGATAGGGCTTAGGGTTTACGCGTTCTGGGCTTAGGGCTTTCAGGGTGTGGGTCCCAAGCTGCTCACTCCAAGACCCTAAATGTCAAATCCTGGCACACTGCAGACTTCTATAGCTTTTCAAAAGACCTGAACTGAACTGAACACCCGGCTGCCTAAATCCAAACGGTAGTTTCAGGGCATTAGGGAAGCCCACCCCCCTCCCAACAATCATGGATTTCTAATCAAAGAAACCCGACGACCATGTAACCCGAAATGCAAAGCCATGGATTATTGGACGGGCGCTTCATACATTAGGGTGTCGAGGTACAGCCTGGTGTCATACACAAGACTAAGACTGATTGGATATCAAGACTTTAATTAAGTCGATAACCTCCGAAGCAATTCAGACCTCTACCCTTAACCCAGAGCCCTCACGCTGCCTTGGAAACACCTCTGCGAAGCATTTCACTACTCGGGTCGACTCCCAGTACGGCGTCTGTGGCGGCGCCAAGTGTCCTCCCGAACAACAGGGAGGAGTGGGCGTAGCAGCAGGTAGTAGTAGTAGCAGCCGTCGTCGTGGTCGTTGTTGCAGTAACGGTGGTGGTGGTGGTGGTGGTGGTGGTGGTGGTGGTGGTGGTGGTGGTGGTGGTGGTGGTGGTGGTGGTGGTGGTGGTGGTGGTGTGGTGGTGGTGGTGGTGGTGGTGGTGGTGGTGGCGGCGGTGGCGGCGGTGGTGGTGGTCGTGGGAGTGGGAGCAGCAGCGGCGGTGGTTGCAGCGGTGGTTGCAGCGAACCTGGAGGCCATCCTCACATCAAGCAGTCGTATTCTAAGGTCCTAAAGCCTGGTGCAGGAGGCAGACGGCTCGACGCTAAAGTCCTAACCCTACACAAGAAACCTTCAGCACTACACCCCTAGGCCCCCGAAGCCTTATCCCTCAGCCCCCATAAAACTCTTCGCGGTGCTTTGCCTCAGCTGCTGCCCGACGAGGATGCTCACATCGGCCGTGCCCGTCGCCAGGTCCAAAACCTTTCACTCGTGTTTCAAAACAGAAGCCGCAAAGTTGGAAGATGAATTGCTATCCCATCTCCCTGAGGTCTGACGCAAGGGACAATGAGCTTATTACTTCTACTTTCCATGTTCAAGCTTCGGGGCTTCCGAGGCTGAGCGCCCCTTGAGGAACTTAGGCTGTAGAGCGTCTGAGCTTTAGTGCCACTGACCCGAAGGCGTTCTGGCCTCGGGAATGTGGGGTGAGGATTTCAAGGATATGGGACAAGATCAGCTTAAAAGCAGTCAGCGCTTCTTTCTGCTTCAGTGGGAGCTTCATGTCCGGGACACGGTGCACTTCAACTGCTCAATCCCTATAAAACCTTAAAGCCCAAGTTTGTAGAGAGGGCTCTGTACTCGCGGTTAAGGGTTGGGTGTTGCTCTTCACGCTTACAGTTTACAATTTTCAGATTTCCGGGCCGTTGCGCGGCGGGAGGGTGTGTAATGAGTTTTTGTTTTAAGAGCTTCGACTCAGCCGCTTCGGGTTTTAAGAGAGTTCAGGTCGTTTCTCTTGACGCTGCTGTGGGTGCTGGTCCATGGAGGGGTGACGAGTGGCACATGGTGGCACGGCTTTCACTTTTGGTTGACTGGTTGTTGTTTTGCCGCAGGTGCTGAAACTTTGACCCCTGCCACAAGGCAGATGCAGGTGGTCCAGCGAAGCCCCCAGACCCAAACCAGGCAATCCCAAACCCAAATCCCACAGCTTGCAGACGCTTGACTCAAAAAAACTCCCAAAACACAAGCCTGGAATCCGAACTTCCCACCCATCTCCTGAAAGTCCACCGAAAATTCAACAAGAGCCTTGTCCTCTGGCTGTAGCTGCAAGCAGTCCTTCGCGTTTGTCTAGCCCTAAACCCCTAACAGGGATTGGGGTTCCCATAACAGGGTTCATATTAAGGCGGCTTGCGCGTAGACTTTGAGTCGGGCCTACGTAGACCCGGAGCTGGTGTGTCTAATCGCCTCTTCCTGCCACGGAAGCCTCCTTTAATATTGACGCCTCCCGACCCCGGAATTGTGGGGTTTCGCGCCCACAGTTGAAAGTTCATCAAAAACACTATTGGCAGGCTAGGATTGTATGAGTGTTAAATAGTCCTTGCGTCGATCACATTGAATACCAAACCCATGGAAGACGTGCTTGGCCAGGCGTGCCCTGATTCATCTCGTGCTGGGACTTGCCCCCAAATACTGTGCGCACTGAACACGGCGGAGACGAAACACAGTACACCAGGCTATCGTGGCGTCTACACTGCGATATTCTCATAAATTATACATTATTATGATTATTATCCGAAGCTGCACTTCCAGAGGCCGGGGCAAGAATGTGCACGATGCTCTTCTCCGTATATAAGAATGTAACCAGCATCCCTGAAACATTGGTTAGTGCCTTGAGGGCTGACGATGCCCGGACATTCCGGCTTAAACACAAACGCAAGCACTCGCAATATAGCATGAAAACAACCAGGAACCTCACAAGGAGGTCCACATGCTCATCAGAAAACAGGATGCTACATGTCGGCATTCTGGCCACGTGGACCATAATTACCGCCTTTGCAATCATGACTTGTGCCTGTCAGGTGGCTTGTAAACCCGACAAACTACAACCTCAGTGCAATGCATGCAGGGCTGTTTCCACTACATCCCGCGAAAAATGAACCTGGAATGCATTCCTGCGTCCCTGTCCACGGCCCGGTCCTTGACGAGCGTGCTGCGCCAATGCTGGTCGAGGCCGAGCGACATCCACCTCGGTTTCGGTTTAGGGCTTAGGGCTTGCACGGGGCTCAGGGTCCAGGGTCTTCGGTTCAGGACTGAGAGTTTTGGTTAAGATTTTGGCGCTCGGGGCTCGGGATTTTCGGGGCTTTGGGATTTCAATTTGGTGCAGTGCAGGAAGACTTGTGAGTAGAAACTTGCATCCCAAAACAGCCCTTCGCCAAAAAAACAACAAACTTTAATGCAATGATCTATCAAGTGTCCGAGTCCGGGGATACACGCCGCCTCACAGCTATTCGCCATGAATGATTGTGTGTGCGAGATGCTTACTTTGAGGAGGGGAGTAAGATCCAGAAGCCTGCCTCTGATCCGAGAGTGCTGATTGGTGAAGGCTTTGTTGGTGGTTGCAAAGCCCTGATTCTAGTTGCAAAGTGGGGTATACCCGGGGGGACGCGGAGACTGGATTTCAGGCAAGGGGTTGAGACACCCGAGCGGACAAACGGCCCATCGTGGATCGCACCGTGCACACGTTCACTAAAAAGCATCAATGCTAACGAAGCACGAAGCACGCAACCACAGACCTTCACAGGATAGCTTCCATAGCAAGTCTTCATACAAGATTTCGACGCCCGAACCTACCCCAACAACTTAAACCAAGCCCAAATCCCGAAGCCGATCTACAACCAATAAGTCTAGCACCCTCACCCCAACACACCCAAAAATGACGCAACAGGCCCCAAACCCCAAACCATTATACGCAGAGGTTCAGAAGGTGGGATGACTATACTGAACTTAGAACCCCAGCAAAAATTATAATTTTAGCTGTTTCTTAGGGATTATACAGTCCCACCTACCTTCACCTTAGGGGTACTTAGAAATACTTTAAAAGTATTTCTAAGTACCCCTAAGGTGAAGGTAGGTGGGACTGAGGATCCCTTAGATCAGGAACCTTATTTGGACCTTTCGAGGCTTCTGGGACTTTTGAAGCCCCAAACCCCAAACCGACCCTAAACCCTAAACCCTAAACCCTAAATAATCCTAAATACCCTCTAAACCCTAAATTCGGGGGAGCAGCTTGTTTGTGGAGTCGTAGACGAAGGCGATACGGTCGAACATGCTGCCCGAGCCCATCCGAGGAGCCGCTGGTCCCTCCTGCTCGGTAGTCATTTTGGGGCCTAAAACATCGGGGCCTTAAGAATTATGAAAAGGGGTTAGGGCATATCTAAGTAACAATCAAAGGAAGGAATAACATCTGTAACCGTTGAGGGTCTTGGGGTAGATTCTCCTAGGATTGTAGATGGTGGGGAGAAATCCTCTACGGGTTGTACAACACTGTGGGGTGTGTAACACTTGCTCCAGGGTTTAGGGTGTTCAGGCCTGTGATTGAGTAGATACTGGCCTCACAGATTCCTGGTTAGAACGGGCCCTAGGAGGAGTGTGCTCCGTACCCGCTATTCCGAGCTAAATTGGCATGCCGATTCGCATTGAAAGAGCCTTTCTGAGCCTTTCTCTTTGAGGGCTTCGGGCTTCATAATGACCCTGAACCCTAAACCCTAAATCCTAAATCCTAAACCCTAAACCCTAAACCCTAAATCCTAACTCCTAAACCCTAAACCCTTTCTAGCTTCGAAAGGAGTTCGGGCTTCGGCTTCAAGTTTGGGGGCCGTGATTTCACAGACGCACCTCGGACTCCTGTTTCAGCCCTTTTGAGAACGAGGGACAAGCTTTAGGGATCGCGCACGGAAGGCTCAAGGAGAGCTGGAAGGTGTAGTAGTAGTAGTAGTAGTAGTAGTAGTAGTAGTAGTAGTAGTAGTAGTAGTAGTAGTAGTAGAAGTAGAAGGCATATCCCACACTGGCAAGATCGAAGGCTGCAGGGTCACGGTTCTGGATGCGAGCACGCCTTTAACTCGGAGTTATGTGGCTTCCTTGAGGCTGCAGTGGATTGTCGGTGCCTGGGCCCAGGCGGTCGCACCGTCATTTCCTGTCTCTTGGTTGCTGCTCCACGCCTAAGCATTGAAAAAGAACGACACTAACACTTAACGCTCATATGAGTCCTGAATATACCCTCAGTACTGACCGCATTTTGAACTGTAACAGTTATACAGTAACACATAATCTCATTGATAGTTTGGAGGTTTCGGGAATATGGGAGTTTCAGAAAACAGCGAGCCCCGAACGTAGGGACCCTTAGGAAAGGCCCCCTAATACTATATATTATGTCCAAAGACTGGAAGCAGTGCAACTAAACCCTAGAGCCTAAACCTCTGTGTGCCCGGCCTTTGACGCTTCCGTCGCATCCGGCAGCGGCTCGTCAGCAGGAGCCTGAAAAGTGGGCCCACCTCGGCAGCAGGCACTCTTAGGGAGGCTTACTTACGGCGTGACGAGGTTCGGGCGTAAGGAATGTTAGGGTTCAGCTGGTTTAGAGTTTCGAGGTTTGGGAGTTTGGGGTTCAGGGTTGAGGTAGGCCATGCAGAGCTTAGTTGGATGCTTCTCAAGTAACCGATATCCCAGTGCCCCGTAAATGTCTGAACTGGAATCCTGGGGCCTGAACTTTGAAGCTCATGCCGTCGGACTTAAGTTTAGAAAATTAGGGATGCCCTATTAAGGGGCCCTTATAATCAGGATCCTACTATTTAGGATACTATATTAGGATCCCCTATTCGCGAAAACTCCAAAATATCCGAGCCCTGCGCCTTCTAGCTTCGTCACTGTGGGTGTCTCCACCATGACCTCGGCACTCGGGCGACGCAGAGCCGAAAGCCCAACAAAACCCTCCCTGAGGTTCTCCAAACTATGGGTTTAGAGCTTAGGGTTTAGAGTTTAAGGTTTAAGGCTTAGAGTTTAAAGTTTAGGGTTTAGAGTTGAGGGTTTAGGGTTTAGAGTTTAGGGTTTGGAGTCCAGGCTCTAGGGTTACGGACTTGAATTGCGAGACAGCAACATCGAGCCAGCCGTCATTCTCTTTCATACCTCGCACGCTCCGCATGATGATGGTCATGACGAGAATGACTATCATGATTCTTGCGGCGGTGAAGATGATGGTGATGAAGCGGAGAAGAAAGGATCAGAGTGACTGTGATCCAAAAACTTGATCTCGCCACTATATGATAAGAGGAAAACCAAAACCCCTCGAGGCACCCCGAAGTTCAGCGTCTTCTCACAGAAAGGCTGCTTAAGCCTTGGAGTCGAAAGAAGAGTACATGCCATGTCCAAGATGGCTTCAAGATTGGCACCTCTTTTAGGGCCAAGATGTAAGGTTTTGTCTTTAGGGAGCCTCACACCATGATTGATTCGCTATATGCTACTCGTAAGCGTAAGGCATTCAGCACCGAGACTCGTCTTCCCATAACATAGGGAGTGAGAGCAAGTCGAAATCCTCAAAACAGTGTGCAGACAGACCCAAAGACCTTGAAGCCTTAAACTGCGCCAAGCTGCCGCAACGATCACTGCGATGGGAATGGCAAGCAGCGCCCCGGAGCAACGACAGACGCTGCCCAAGAAACCCATGGTCGCTGGAGGTGGAAGTTTTAAAAGCCCCAGGTAATTTCTTGCGGAACGGTTCAGCGCTGAGTGCTAGTCTCGCTGTTCCTACTGCTGCTTTATAGGATCATTGCTGCTGCCATGTATGTTGCAAACATGCTCACGGCATTTGGTATGTCTTTACTGGGACTGTCATCTTCGTCGTGCGGCTAGCACCATCTATGTTGCCGTCTGCATATATACATGGTTACATGGCATTATCCCTTCCCTCTGCTGAAGAGATGGCTTGTTTGGAGAGTTGCTGGATGCTACGGTAGTTGTTGGGGCAAGTTTGTTCTCACCCTCATGTCCCTGCTGCAAAAGGTCTCAACAAAGTGGTGCGGAAATGTGCAAACAAACAGACAACTTTCAGAATAGACTCGCGGAATAAGGTCAGAGGTCTGACAAAGCAAGCCGAAATTTCCACGAATCGATGGGATGGGCACAGGAGGTCTAGAGCTAGAGCTGTATTATGCCTTCGGCACGGAACATAAGTTGAGGCCCTAAGCCGTGAGCCTTAAAACACCAAGCTGAAAGACCCGATAAACCCCCCCTTCCTCTTCTTGAATTTCTTAAACATGTACGTTGGTAAGCCTCAAGCCTTCTGAAACAAGGCCAAAAGCCCTGAACCAAGAAGCTTTGAGGACGAAGCCCCAAATCCAGAAAGCACCACCCGGTATATGGAATGACCCCAACTCCCCAAAACCCACGGCCCTAACCCCCCCCCCCCCCCCCCCCCAACCTCAAAGCCCCTAAACAACAAGAGCTTCGACCCGAAACCCCAAATCCTCGAAGGCCCTGAAGCCCAACAGCCTCGCCTTGCGCTGTGCGGGGGTCATGGTCCTGGGTTGTAATTCCAGCGCTTGGGGTTTTAGGGCTCATTGTATGGGGCTTATGATATGGCATACGTTTCCTTTCTCAATGTTGAGCCTCTTGTCATGGTTAAAGCTTTACATAGGGCTTAAGGGCTTTTGTAAGGATCGGGGCTTGGAAAGCTGAGCAGTAAGCACAGACATCCTCTGCAAGCCCATCAGGGGAATCAGATGTAACCTCTCTGATGATGTAGGCTTGCAGGCAACCCAAAACGGCACCCCAACCACAGATAACAGCCAGATAGTTACCTATGCATCTTTTGGAACCCAAAGATCTTGTGCAAAAGCCGATATAAAAATTGAATACTGCTAACCCCTTAAAGAACCCTGTACAAATCCCTAAACCCTCTATGACATCCTGTAATGCCTACACGGTAGCCCTTTTAGAAACCCTGGTCGCTAGCCGCCCGCCCGGTCCTTTTAATTTTCAAGAAGCGCTTCAAACAAACCCTAAACCCTAGAATCCCCAGGCCCTGAACACTAAACCCTAAACCCTAAACTCCCAAACCCAAACCCCAAACCCTGAACCCTAAACCCCATGCCTATACCCTAAACCCCTTCCCCAAAGTGCCACCATAGGGGCTCCCAAAGCTGCTGGAAGGCGGGGTTTTTGGTTCCCAGGGTCGCTACGTCCTCCTGGGCGTCGGAGTCTATAGAGGCTTCTGCGGCTTTGGGGGTTTAAGGCGTCTGTTTCGGGGCTCTAAGGCTTCGGAGGCATTGGGTTTAAGGCGTCTGAGAACTATGGGGCTTCAAGTAAGGCTGCACAAGCTTCTAGGGGTTTGGGGTTGGCTTGGGGTTTTCGGGCTCGGCATTTGAGGGCTTTGACGTTAAGGTTTGGGGGGTAGGGTTTTGCGCTGCGGCCGGATTGTACACAGGGGTTTTGTGAGTTCAGGTTAGGGTTTAGGGTTTAGGCCCGGAAAGCCCAGAAATTTGCGCCGGCAGGGCGATAAGATTCGCGGGTTGAGGGCTGGGGTTTGGCTGGGCTTGGGGCTGTTGGGTTTAGGGTCTGTGTGCAAGATGTGGGAGGTTCCGCAAATAGGAGGACCCTAATAGAGCACCCTAAATGGTAGGATCCTTATTGTAAGGACCCCAAAATAAGGTACCCCTAATTTTCGGGAACCATGTAATGTAGTGCTCAGGGTGGGGCATGTCGAGGCCCCAGGGCTTTAGAGTTGAGGCTGGCTTTGATAGAGATTTAGGGTTCAGGGCTTGGAGGATTCGGATAATGTGGGGGCCTTGATGATGAGAATAGGACTTTGGGAGGCTCCTTATTATGATTATGGTACTTCCCCACATCCTATTCTAATTATCAAGGCCCCTACATGAGGCTTCATTACTTGAAGGGAAAACATACAATCAGCTTGTGTATCACAGAAGTGCACATGCCTTAAGATCACGATAGAGTCTATATGTATATATATATATATGTATACAACATCAAACCCTTTCCAAGGGCAAGAGACTGGAACGGCCTTGGCAGATTCCCCAGGCCCGAAGCTGCTACATGAAGCCCAGCGCACAGTACCATCGAGGTCTCCCCTGAGCTACAGAATCAATATGCAGAGATAATGCAGGAAACGTTCGATCCTTCCCCGCTCGATTCCACAGAGCTTGCAACGTGTTCTCGGTGTCCATAGGCAACACCATGTGCTGCCCCTGGACCCCAGCAAAGCTCAACTCTGCATTGATGGCCTTAGCCACTCTCACTGGATCCTCACCCGTAGCGAAAAGGAAACCAGAAAGTTGCGAAGCCAGTTTTCCCAGTTTGTCCGGAATGTCCCGCGACGAATCCCTGCGGACAGGAGGACATGCCTGCGCACGTTTGTCCGAAATGTCCCGGGACGAATCCCGGCGGACAGGGTCATTTCTTGTAGGGTGCTGTACTGCAGCGAATAGACGAAGCTCTAAATCCTTAAACCCTAAGCTATCCGGGTTTCGGGCTTAGGGTTGAGGGGCGTAAGCTCCCACTAAATCTGAAAAATCTAAACACCACTCACCATGATGAAGAAAGCTTAGGTATATGCGTCAAGGCCCTCTAAACCTGGAAACCCCCACGCGACAAATCCTGAACACAAGACCCTAAAACCGAAGACTCCAAACGCTCGTGCCGTAAAACTACAGCTTCGGCTTCCGAAATCGATTTATGAGTTTCCGCAAATAAAGGGGGACCTTAGGGTTTCAGAGGGTTACTATAAGGGCACTATAGGTTCCTTTAAAGGGCCCTATAAGGGTATAGAGTTTCCGCAAGTTAGGGGTAGTCAGGATTGTCTGAGGTATTCTGAGGTGTCAGATTTGGAATGTACGTTTTTGAGAGGGGGGTTGGGTCTATGGGTTTAGGCTTGTCAGATTCACTTTTGGATTTTCGTGGCAGACGAAGGCAGACTCAAAGCCCAGAAGCCGAAGCACACCACACCAGACTTCTGCCCGAAGGGTTTAGGGGAAAGGAAGCAACACGGTTTCATGGGGCTTTATGAGGTTACTATTCGAGGATTCATATGAATTATCAACCGAGGAAAATAACTTCAATGGAGACCGTTATAGCAACCTTTATAGCAACCCTGCAGAAACACATAAAAAAAAAAAAAAAACTCCACAAGCACCTTATAAACTTTGTTAACAATAAGAGAGAACATGGTCACGCTTAAACTCCCAGCGCCTGCTCGTCCTCATTGTCAGGATCCTGCGTTCATAAAGGGGTCTCCGAAATTCGGGGTTAGGGTTTTGGGTTTACTACTAAAATTTAGGGTTTGGTGTCCAGCATTTGAGGGTTTAGGGTTTTGGGGTTTTGGCCCGGTGTTTCTTCTTTCCCACAGCAGAAAAATTCGGATCCCTAGCATAAGGACTCCAAAATAAAGTACCCCTAATTTTCGGGAACTCTACACCGAGCCCTAAGGTATCCTTAATTTTCGGAAACCCCGCATGGCAGGATGGTGCAGGGAGCAGCTGTGTTGCGAAAACGAGCAGTCTCCGTCTTGCGCTGAACCAGACATAAGTCGACAAGACCGACATGATTTGGGAGTTTCCCAAAAATTACGTGTGCCGTTCCTTGGGTGGTCCTTGTAATAAGGTTCCGACTACTCAGGGTACTCTGTTAGGGTCCCCAATTTTCGGAAACCCCCACATGATTTCGGAGCTTCCGATGTAAAGTCACCGGCGCAGTCCCACTCATACGCTAAGCTCAGAGGTGTAAGTGTGTAACATACGCGTCTTAAGGAAAAGTGTAGCATCGATAGGGAGGAGCCAGGCGAAAAAAATCTTTCTGTCTTGCATAATAAGCCCTAAATCCTAAACAAAAACCCGACTCTAGAACCGTTTAATGCAAATTAAACAAAATGGGTGACTATATAGTAAGAGGGCTGAAAGGCCTTCGGCGGTGGCAGACGACTTGGCGCCCTCCGCGCGTTGGCGAACCTCGCATCTGCATTGTATGGATTTGTAGGAGCGTTTAGTTTAGGGTTTACGGGCCTAAAGGGGTTTAGGGTTTAGGGTTTGGGATTCGAATGGTTTTTTTGGGGGGGGCAAAATTTGGGGTGTTACGATTGTGAATCTCTGGACCCCTGTTTACCGAGACGCTGAGGTCAGATTGAGGCTCGTCAATGCGTATTGAGTCATGGTGCGTCGGTAGTCTTCACTGTGCATAAACGGCTGGGGGTTCAGGATGTAATGTAGGAACCTGATTAAGAAACCTTGGGTCCTCTTTCGGGCTCTTAATATGGATCCTAATATTGGGGTTACAGGCCCAGGGTTTCTTTCTTAATCGGGTTCCTACAGTAGGGTTGCGGGTGTAGGAAAGCTCCGGGTTCAAGATCTTCACGGCTTCAGAGCTTGATTAGGGTTGTAGGGTTTAGGACCGGGTGTCCAGTGCTTTCTGTCAGGCCCTTGGGCGGCGTGAACCGTCAAAAGCGCAGGCGCGAGACCACCCTGTACCACACACTCCTAAACCCTAAACCCCATGCACGGCCTAAACCCTAAACCCTATAAGTTCTGAGGCAGCAACTGCTCCAGCAGCCGCTGCTGGGGAAAGAGAGCTGGGAACCAGCTGCTGCCTGACAACAGGGAGGAGGAAACTACCTTAGAGTTTGGGGTTTACGATTCGTTTCGGGTTTCGGGTAATATGAGGACTAGTTTGGGGTTCAGGGTCAGTCTACAACCCTCTAAACCCTCGATATGTCCCAAAAACATCCAGGCTTTCGAAGCCTCAAGCACTGAGTCTAAGTCTACAAGGCCGGCGCGCTGCAAGCCTTCCGTGGCGTCTTAATCCAAGCCCAAAGGCCTGAAACCTGGAGCACTAAGCGTCTCATATAGGGGCCTTAATCATTAGGGGCCCCTTATACCACACTTAAAATAAGGAACCCCCAATATAGTATAGGTAATTGAGGAGGCCTCGATAGTAACCCTAAACTCTTGGCAGTTGGCACCTTCCCCGTGCTTGAGCATCCAGCTGCCTACCCGGAGCTATCGAATTCAGGACATCCTTGCGATGAACTTGCGACCTGCCTGCCTTCATGAGGCTTGGTATAAGAGTTGACGTAATACAATCTGTGCGCGATGTGTGGCGAACTTTTGATTGAGGGCCTGAAGGCACAGGCCATGGGGTTTCGGGGGCTAGGTACAGCTCCAAGGGCGCGACAGCAGGAGGTCACTGTAGAAATGAGCCGTCGCATCGAAATCGGAAACTCTACGCTGGCAACCGGACGACACGCTACTTTCCCGCTGCTTTTGATCGTTTGGAATACGAGTATGAGTCATGCAAAAGCGGTAGCGATCATGAAGACCTATAGTTACTCGGACGAGCAATGTACTTTTTAAAGCAACAACTGCCCGTCCTGAAACTTTGAAGGCCCGCAATCTACATCCAGACGCCGACGTATGCCTCAAACATTGCCTAAGACAGCACTGACATCGCAAACTGCAATGCTAAACAAATCCGAAATCTGTCAAGAGGCAATGAAGCTGTGATTGATTATATACATGGGCAACTAGAAATCACAGCCTAAATCTGGCAGCCCTAGCCCTCGAATTAAGCTCCGTAGACCTGAAACTGCTAGTCCTAGCCGCTACTTATTCTGAAACTGTGATCCCCTACACCCGAAATCACTTAAACCTCCGGGCCTTTTCTGCTATCGAGGTTCCGCAAGGTTCGGAGGTTCTCCGGTGACATCTCTGCGGCCGCGTCCTGCAGGCAACAGACGGTTTAGGGCTTCGGGGCTTTTCGGCAGGGTTTACGGACTTCGGGTCTTGGCCGATCATGATGAGGAGACGTGCTGCGGCCATACTATATCAGTACATCATAAGTAGCATTGGTAACAGGATATGTGGGCTACTGGAGGGATCTAGGGCTAGGTTTGATTTTCCGTATGGCGACCTCCTAGATTGGCCTTCAGTGTCGGCTCCCTGCTATAATCCTTCGCACGGGATCTACACTGAGCCTTAAGATATGCAGAAACCAAAAATATACAAAGCAAGCCCCGGAGAGGCAACTTTGCTTCACGGCAATTCCTAAACACGAACACACGAGATGTTGGGTATATTGGGGTCCCTTAAACCAGGGATTTTACTATTTGGGGTTTACATCAAGATTCTTTCGGGGCTGTAACTCCCAAATCTAACCTTCAAATCCCCCCTCCCCGAGACACGATCATGCTCCAGAATATGAAACCGAAAATACTGTTCCTATCCGCTTATCTAACTGGTCTCTTCCCAAAACCCTAAGCCCGTTAAGCCCGTTACCCTGATTCATCCGTAAAACCTGGGATTCGTACTGGAACCCCTGCTACAGCCTCAGCCTACTTGTCGGACTGCCAAAGGCAAGGCAGCAGCCACGATACGTATAGCCCTCTTTCATGTAAGTTAACCAAACCCGAAACCCAAAACCTAAACTGTGACCAAAACCCTAAGCCCCCGAAAAGATCCTTCCGGCTCGGCTTGAAGTAGCGAAAGGCGCGGCTGAGAGAAGCCGGGGGAAGCCTAGGTTGAGGTTGGGACTCGGGCTTTGGGTCTCGGGGTATAGGGTTCGGAGTTTCGGATTATGGAGGGTCTAGGGTTTAGGGTTCAGATTCGGGTTATGGGTTGGGGGGGGCTTAGGGAGGGGTTCCGAAAACTAAGAGGGAATAAAGACACTCCTGGGGCGTAGCAAAAAAGCGGCGTTAAACCATGCTCGCACCGATCGTGGCGCGGAAGCAGAAGAGTACCAGCCTCGAACCAACACCATACTATCATGGCTTCGCCAAAGTTCTGGCTTTTCGGTTTGGGCTTATAGTTCTACGGGTTTAGGTTCTCTCGGTCGAGGTTGGGGTTGGAAAGTGATATGTCGTGAGCTTGGGGCAATCGAAGCCAAGGCGAGTTTTGCAAAACCCTTAACTCTACAAACCGTAAGTCCCAAGACTCTGACCTCCAACCCTACAGTCTAACATCCCTCTAAAGACACGCGTCTTGTTAGGGCTGAACTTATACATGTCCATCCCGAACCGACCCTCCAACTCAACTCTGAGCTCGACGCGTCGGGGCGTGGTCTAAGATCTGCAAACCCTAACCTCCAGCAAACCTTAAAGCTCTTGCATACACCGTCTTTCAGACAACAAGCTACCCGAAACCCCACACCCTAAACCCTCGACCCTAACCCCGAACCCCATGACTGAACCCGAAATCGAAAACCCTGAACCACGAGACCCTAGACTAGACCCCCGAAGCAAGCCCTGAGCAGCGAAACCCTAAACCCGAACCCCTAAACCGCTAAACTCGCCCCTGAACCCCGAACCCCTAAACCCTTAACCCCAAGCCCTGAACCCTTGAAGCCCTAAACCCCCAAAACACCCCCAAACTGCACCTTTCAAAAAACCCCAGATTCGAGGTCGGGGCCCGAGGAAATCGGCGATCTCATCCTGGGTGCTAGGTCGGTACATAACTAAGTAGGTTTAGGGGTTATGGTTTAAGGTTTAGGATACAGGGTTCAGGGTTTAGGAGTTATGGTTTAAGGTTTAGGGCTTGGGGTTTAAGGTTCAGGGCCTTGGGTTTAGGGTTTAGGGGTTATGGTTTAGGGTTTAGGGCTTTGGGTGTGGAAGCTGGGCGCGTTCTGAGTGCAGTGGCCTGGGTTGGGCCCAAAAGGGTGTAGATGTCAAGGTGCAGGGTATTGTGGTTCAGGGCATACGGCTTTGGGTTTGTAAAATAACATGGACCCTTCATATATACTCAAAAGCACCGAGCGTATCATGACATGAGAACGCTACCGTGCAGGGATATCGAATGTTGTGGCACTTCAAGATGTAGGGCTCTCATATTATCACTAGTCCCTTGCAAAAACATGGTATGGGGTACTCGTACTTCTCATATGTGTCATAACCATTCCGTCCCAAAGAAAATGGCAAGAGCCTCCGGAGCCCTTGGTTGCAAATAGGGTGTCGGGAGGTTGTGTTCCGGGCTTGGGTCCTGCGGCATAAGTTCGTAGCAGGCACTGTGAGTGCCTGTAGGGTTCAGAGTCAAAGGGTGCAGATTAATTGGGTTAAGGGTTAGTAGAGTGAGTCGGGTCGAAGGTTCGAGTTTGCACTTGGAGGGCTTTCGTCTCAACGAGTCCACACTGACAAATTACATCAGGATATATTACCCTTGAGAAAACATGCGCGGTGTCTTCCCGGACTTCGTTGCAGGATCTTATGGCTTCGGGCTTAGGCTTATAGCAATAATTCGCAAGTTGACATAGGGGCCTTAGTAATTAGAATAGGGTTTTGGGGCCCATTATACTATATTTACAATAAGGAACCCACCAAAATAATATTGTAATCATCTAGGCCCCTACATTCTGCCTGCCATAATCAGTGCCCTCGAGTCTCAAGACTCCTTGCAATGCAAGGGGTTTCAGATGCAGTTTAGGGTTTAGGGTTTTAGGGTTTAGGGTTTTAGGGTTTAGGGTTTAGGGTTTTAGGGTTTTAGGGTTTAGGGTTTTACGATTTAGGGTTTAGGGTTTAGGGCTGTCGGGTGGCCCTCTGGTGAGACCCTACACCCGAATACCCCTCCATGCTGCGCCGATAGTGATTGAAACTCAAACTCCAAAGCCAAAAAGAATCCTACAAGCCCTGCGAAACTGAAACAAGACTTGAACCCTTATCAGCCCGAAACCGTCAACCAACCACTCGTCACTCGCTGCTGCCAGGGTACAGCCGCCTCGAAATCGCTAGCCACCCAAGCTTCACAAAGGTCCTGTGATTTGGGGTTCGGGGGTGGGGTTTCTGGGCGTTGCAGATTTATGGGTCTGTTGTGCCATAGTGTGTTTGTAAAGAGTTCACAACTTTAGCGACAATCACTTAGTTGACATGTTTCAAGTGTTTGGGTTTAGATCAAATACCATACTATCGGTACTATCGACAATTCCACAGTTCCAGGGCTGTTAGCTCAGGACCCTAAACCCGCAACCCTCACACCTTAGATCCTAAACTCCTGCACCATAAACTCCTAGCTATAGCTCCTCAAGCCTAAAGTAAACAACCCCTGAATCCTAAACTCTCAGCCCAATCTTGGCCAGCCGGACCTCGTAGGCCACCCAGCGCCACATAGAAGGCTCAAGACCACGCAAGACCTCCCCCCCCGGTAGCGTCCCACAAAGCAGCAGCTGTAGGGTTGAGGGGTGGCGGGATGCTGTCGGTACTATACTGTTTTTTGCAATTTTGTAGTACAAGATGATGTAAAAAAATAAATGATAGTATAATAATATGGAAGTATGAATTCGTTCCATGGAGGTTATAAGGCTATAGGACTTGTGGTTCATAGACATGTAACCGACTGTTCAAATCAGCGTCAGATACCCTACGTGCCACGTGGTTTCAAGGGACTCGATAACAGGATCTACCTGCAGCTGGAAAAACTTTGTTGGGCCACGGGTATGGCTTAAGGCTTGCAGCGCAAGGTTCGCAGGAGTACCATAGTAGAAGCCCGGATAATTACCAACTTTATTCCTCAGGGCTCCTTACTATAACTGTACTATTATACTATACGCCAAGACTTATTCTAATTATTCAGGCCCCGATACTACATGTTCCGATGGCTTCAGCATGCTAGCAAGAGCTCAAACGGACCTGACTGCTCGATGGTACTAGCCCGATGTTCGGTTCTCAGCAAAGTGCCTGAAGTCCTAAACCGAAAGCCCTGACATAGGGGGCCTTGATAACTAGGATAGTAATCTTGCACCTTGAACCGCGGAATGACGTCAGCGAGATGCAACTTTTAGGTTCGCGGCTTTGGGGTGAAGCTCGAATGCTCAGGGTTGGTACAATGGCATGTTTGGCTTGAAATAACCCCAGAAGCCCCAAACCTAAAACAAACCTCAATGCAGGAAATAATGAAAGCAATTCTTTTGAGCTCTTTCAACTTTAGCTTGTCTCAGAAGGGTTTCAGGGCTACTGGGCACCCATACCACTCCTAAGCAGAAACCGAGGATGTTGGAGTCTCTGAGGCCCCACAAACATCCCGGAAAGCATACGGGGCTGAAGCATTAAAGTTCCAAGTCAGCTCCCCAGAGAGCCCAATACCTGTTCATGCAGGAGTAGACCGTACATCATCACAAAGTAACCCCCCCACACAAGGAAAGATGTAGTCCTGAATTACACAGGGTATTTTCCACGTAAAGTAAGTCCCCAAAGGAGACGTGAACTCCTTAACTTTACTAAAGGGGTATAAACTAGAATAGGGTTTGGCCCCACTCAGTACTAGTTGAATGGTATTCATAATATGGATATATTAGGACCTTAATAGTAGCCCTATTATAGACTCTTGCTGTAAACGAAAATAGGGTTTTGAGGCCCATTACAAAATAAGTATGAGGAGCCGTCTGTGACGGGCCAGCCCACGCCTTGGTCAAGTAGTCGTTGAAGAGTGCCAGGACCTACGGTTGATGATATAAACCCTAGGGTTCCTTTAAAGGGATCTATAAGGGTACCTTTAAGGGGTTCCTTTAAGGGACCTATAGGGTTTTAGGGTTTAGGGTTTAGGATGATGATATAAATCCTGCATTACCTTATTAGGGACCCTAAACTATGGGAACTACGGTATATTCCTTATTATGGGTAATGCAGGATTTACATCATCAGCCGTATCACAGGCAGGGCTCCTCTGAAGCCCTGAATCTTGAGGGCAACATCATGTTTGAGGGTTCAGGGCTTCAGCCCTAAACCTCACAACCCCTAAACCCTGCATAATCCAAAAAAAGCACGAGACCTTTCAAGACCCTTTACAAAACGATCAAAAGGTAAGCCCCTGTAGACGAAATCCTCCGGTCGAATGGAATACACAACGCCTTCCACAGAAGTCCTTTCCCTGAAAGGAACCTCAACCGAATGCAACTGTCTTGATGACTCAAACAGGGCGTAATAAGGATGTGATATGTTATCACGGGTGAATATAAGTTCTTGATGAGCTTTGACACCGTGCTGGGATGCTTGTGTACCAACTACCCAGACCGTTAACCTGAACAACATCACGCCAAGGTTTACATGCTTGCAGCCCGCTATAGCCGTTATCCCTTCAACGCAATTAGGCCTTCAAGGGTTGCTTTAAGGGTCTTAGGTTTAGGGTTTTAGGGTTTAGGGTTTAGGGTCTTCCCTTCAAGGGTTTCTATACGGTTTTGCGGTCCAGGGTTTAGGATTCAAATTAGGGCTTTGGGTTTAGGGTTCCTCCTCAAAGTATCGTTGGGATCCTGCATACGGGATCCTTCACTCAGGCATTATGAGGGATGCTGTTGCAGCCCTTTTTTTCCGTTGGAACCCTAGACTATGAGCATATAAACCTACAATCTACCTAAGCCCCGCAGGTGCCCTAGAAACCCTGGTACCTTGAACGCTATGATTACCGTACCAACACAATACCACAAGCCCAAAACCACCGAGTCTAAACTCTAAAGCCAAAACGCACGCTCACAGCCGCAGCAAACCGTGAACCGTATATGCTGTACTCCACCCTCCTGGCCTTTGCATGCTCAACCAAGCCGTCGTCCCACTCCTTTTATGAAGAAGCTTTGCAGTGCAATAGGTTTGCAGGATACTTTGGACTAAACGGCCCTTGCAGAGTATGCAAGAGTGACAGTGGAGTTTGGGGGCTAGGTTATAATCATAGTGATAGAGGGACAATACTGTGACGGTGACACTATTAGTCGGACCCGTGCCGAACTATATAGTGGGCATAGAGTTCTCTTTGAGAGTAGGAACGAGGGCCCCTGAAAGGGACCTCAAAGAACAGCTCACAGTTCTGAAGGTCCCCCCCAAAGATGCTTGGCAGAAGCTGCTCAGGTGGCCTTAGGGTTGTGTTGTCCTTGGGAGGCTGCAGCGCAACTGGGGCTCAGCTAAGCCCAACTCTGAACCCAAAGCCCCAGTCCTTAAATCACCAAACCCGACCCTGCAAACGCACACCCTTAAACCCGTAAGCCTTCACAACCCTAAAACCCCGAAGGCCCCAAACCTAATAAAGCTTTGAAGACCAAAGGCAAGGGTGCTCTGATTTTCAACTCTGGGCCCTTTGACTTAGCCTTTGAAGGAGTTTAGAAAAGAGGACTCTATCGGGATTCTATGAGGTCTTTACCGGGCTTACGATCTCAGACCTCGGACTCGCCTGGGCATAAGGGTTTAGGGTTCAAGGGCTTGCGATTCAGGGTTTAGGGGTTTATGGCAAGGGTTTATGGGGTTGAAGCGTTTCTTGTAATCATCAAGCTGTGCCTCTAAATCCATGAACAGAACCCTCGCAAGCCTAGCCAACACAACACAAACCTCCATTGCCTGCAACCCTCTCGAGCCGAAGCCCCGAACCCTACAAGCCCCACGAAGCGTTTGACCATTGGCGGGTGAGGCTCGGCAGTGAATGCCCGGTCGTGCAAAAAAACGCATTGCCGATACTGTGCACACATGGAGTTTCCGAAAATAGAGGACCCTTATATATTACTTCAAATAGTGGGATCCTTATTATAGGGATCCCAAATAAGGTATCCCTAATTTTCGGAAACCCTCACCTGAAAAAGGACATGTGTCGGCACGGCGGCGGTTCTATGCGATTCTGCGAGCATCCGTTGAGCTGCCGAGCGTGCTGAAGCATGGCCACAACCTGCGGGGAGAAGACAGCGGCCTCCAACAAGCCACAGGCCGGACGAAGATCTACATGGTCAAGTTGGCGTAGTTGAGGCTCACGATGGGCTGGCCAGCCGTGTACGGCGCAGCCAGCTTCCCCATTCCTTGATGCAAGTGCGGTTTGCACACTCCTCCCAGCTGTTTCCAAGTCAAAACATGGTCGAGCCAAGACTGGACGACCCTGTCAGAGCCCACCGCCGACGATGCGATGCGCCACCGGAGTGCTCGTTAGCAACCACTTACCACTTTGGGCACCCGGACCTGTCTTATCGCCTGCCACCACCAAGGATCTTTAGGGACGCTACAAGGAGTCTGCACAGGCTTAAGAAGGCCTCTTAAGGTGCAAGGAGCTCATATTGACAAAGAACTGACTCCTCATACGGGCTGGCAGCTTTTGCAGGAAGCGGCTGTAGAGCGATGCTCATCCTGAATCCTGGAATCGTATACCCCTAAAACCCTAGATCCTGTAGACGCCATCCACCAAGTAAGTTCTCCAACCCATAAAGCCTTTGGTTCCTTTCAAGCCCAAATAACCCCAAAACGCCCTCGCTGTCGGTCTGTATCTATCTCTATATCTGTCTATCCATCTATCTATCTATCGGTATAACGATCTATCTATACATCTATCTACCTGTCTGTCTATTTTATCTAGCTCGCCGTCTAGCTAGCCAGCTAGCTATCTAACGCATGCATGTATGCATGGATGGATGGATGGATGGATGGATGGACGGAGGGAGAGAGGGGTAGGTACGTATGTATGTACGTATGTATGTATGTACGCATTCATATATGTGCGTAGGTGTGTATGTATGTATGCATGCATGTATTTCTTTGTGTGGATGTCGGTATACATATGTGTGACTATATCTGTATATATACATATGTATATACAAATATGTCATCAATATACATGTGTATGTCTGTATGTATACATATATACATATATACATATATACATATATACATATATATATATATATACATATATACATATATACATATATACATATATACATATATACATATATACATATATACATGTATACATGTATACATATATACATATATACATATATACATATATACATATATACATGTATACATATATACATATATATATATATATGCATATCCACATACATACATATGTATGCATACACATTACACATTGCACAGCCTACACTGGCCCTGAACCTGCACAACACTAGACGTGGCAAGCGTCTCTGAGCCCCCTGATGCTTGAGAGCCTGGAACCCCGATCTTCCAAGACATGCTGTGTTCAGGGTTTAGGGTTTTGGGCTCATAGTTGAAATCCATCCGTAGCCTAAGGTATATTCCTTATTTATTGCAGGAGTCACGTGGAACCCTAAACCTGCGAAGGCTGAAACTTGATGTCCTCTAAACCCAAACTCAGATCTATAAACCTTGCTCCTTGTGACCCCCTAACTCGATGGAACCGGCAAACCCTGAATCTCTAAAACCCCGGCAGGGTCTCCTTGTGGCTCCAGGCTGCAGAGAGCAAGTTCCGATGCAACACGAGGACCTGGCGCTGTCTATCGGTATGTTAATAACTTCTACTGTTACTGC